AAGATCCTTCCATGACGTTGGCGGTGTTATAGTCTATATTTGCACTTATATATCTTCATTCTACAATATACTAATACTAATACTAATATAATAATATAATAATAATAATAATAATAATAATGATTATAATACCACTGTCAAACTACTATTACCACTACTATAGTATACTAGTATACTACTACTACTAGGTACTACTACTACTAGTACTAACTACTAGTACTTACTAACTACGTACTACTACTACTAGTCTACTACTACTAGTACTACTACTACTACTAGTACTACTACTTACTACTAGTACTACTACTACTACTAGTACTACTACTACTACTCGTACTACTACTACTACTAGTACTACTACTATACTAGTACTACTACTACTACTAGTACTACTACTACTACTATAACTACTTACTACTACTAACTACGTACTCACTACTACTACTACTACTACTACTACCTACTACTACTACACTACACACTACTACTACTACCACCACTACTACTACTAACTATACCACTCACTACTACTACTACTACTACCACACTACTACTACTACTCCACCATACTACTACTACACTACTACTATACTACCACTACTAACTACTACTAACCCACACTACTACTACTACTACCACCACTACATACTACTACACTAACACTAACTACTACTACTACTACCACCATACTACTACTATACCACCACTACTACCACCACTACTACTACTACTACTACCACCACTACTATACTACTACTACACCAAACTACTACTACTACCCACACTACTACTACTACTCTACACCACTAACTACTACTCTACTACACCACTACTACTATTACTATTATCTTTTAACTAAGAGACGCACGATGTACACTCCTGAACCCCTAATCACCCCGGTGGAGGGGGGACATAGGGAGCTATGACAAATTAGAAGACATGCAATAATAGACAGCCCACTGCCCCAGACGTGATGCCAAAGCGGCGGTTCCGAGGGCAGTAAGAAGGGCGGTTCGACATGGCCTCTTGATCGGTTAGCACGTGCGCCGACTACGCCAAAAACTTTTTTAGTAGTAGCAGTAGTAGGAGTAGGAGTAGTAGTACTATTAGTAGTGGTAATAGTAGTTGTGGTAGTGGTATTACAATCATTATTATTATTATTATTATTATTATTATTATTATTATTATTATTATTATTATTATTATTATGAGTAATGAATTATATTAAACTGTGTGCTGACTCACACGCCATGGAGAGGAGGGCCTCGACCGCCGCCAGGCCAGTAATGTAGGGGACGGGGTGGTGGCGGCCCTCCTTGACGAGCTGGTCCGCGGGGCCGGGCAGGAACGTCTCCACCCCGGGCACCACGCGCTCGGGCGTCGGCACGAAGGAGAAGGTCACCATGCGCCTCCTGTCCTGCGGGGCGGACACACTAGTACACGCCCTGAATCGTCACTGTCCACTGAGGAAGCCTACGACATGTCAGGCGAAACGTCGGCCTCCCAGCCAACCACGCGGCGTCTCCCGGATTGCCGAGAATTGAACGTGGGACCGCGCCCGCACCAGCTACTTGCCCGCCCGGGAAGGAATGCCCGGGGCTTAGACGACCAACTTCCCCTGGTTGCGCTTTACTTTCCCAACAAAATCCAGAAACGGGTGGAGACGCGCAAGGTGAAGTGGCGCATGGCAAGGAATAGTGGCTTCACACGAAAATAAATAAGCGGGTGTTGAATTAACATTATACTCTTTATTATTTCATTTTCCTCCTCTTAAATTCTGTATTGTATAAACATTTTTGCCAAAAGACACGAATATGTTTGAATCAGGAATTCTTTCCTTTTTCATTTTTTAATGTTTTTTAATTATTCAGTTATTTGTTGTACTTAGCAATAATGTCGCTAAGAGATGAAAATTTGTAGTTACGGACGGACAGCTCTTTTAACACACAAGATCATGATCTGTTAAACCTCTTAATATGATCGTAGGAAGTTAATGCCATTATATCACTTGATTATAAACACGATTATAAAATCAAGATTCTTTTGATTCAAAATGTGCAATTTTACTCTCAGTTGTGAATTTGAAGTCTGATTTATATTATTTCATTTTAGTGGGTCATTTTTTTGCTTGAAAGAGAAAATGCGAATTATAATGGAATAATATTCGTAATAACTGCCATGCAACTTTTCCCAATGATTGCGATACGCCAGATATCCTATGACGTACCGCCACTACAGAACCATTTTTACAACACTTACTTTTAAATATCGTGTAAATTTCTCTGAACATAGAGCCCCCGCTCTAGTAGGCTAGTTACCTTACCCGTGATCTTGACATCCTGCACATTGCCTAATGAGAATCAGTTTTTAATGTGTATCAAATTGGTCCATTTTACCTACTGACGAAGATTCGGTACTTTATGGCTTCTTTACCATGTCTACGATATAAAGGCATGTTTAGTACTTGTCTAAAGTAAAAAAATCTAATGAAAATTAAAATTAGACCTACTGCGTATTTTAGGTTAAGGTAATCAGTTCTGACTAAGAGACTAAATATTTAATTCAGTGAGTTATACCCTGGCGACAAAAGGCAGTTGTGCATTCCGACCGTAGAAATTTTATTACTTCAAAACCCACTATTCAAAACAGAACAACGAAAGTAACGGGAAAAGTAAATTTGAGAGTTTTTTCGAGTCTAACTAATCATTAGCGTGGCATGATTTTTACAGTACCTCGGTTTCTTAGTGGCATTGTCACCTTAGAGAGATGAATCACTTAAACAAATAATACAACCGAAGATTAAACAATCCAACATTTCTAAAACACATAAAAGACTGTTGCTTGGAAAAGCACCGTACCTTTTCCGGAACAGCATCTGTATGTGCGACATGTACCAACTCCTTGTAGTCGACACCTCGCAGAAACTCGACGATGGCGTGCGGATCGTCGCTGGTGCAGCCGAGTAGGCGTGCCAGTCGTCGGGTGGTGTCTGCTGGATCCGTCTGCACCGCCCATGGGTTCAGCGCTGCACCGCTCATGGCGATGGCGCGGTGGAACAGACCTATGCAAATATTCCACTGATTTCCAAACCACCAGTACACATTGTCGGGAATCAGAATATTACACGGACTAATGTTTTGTATGTTTAAACGAAGGGAATCTCTTCTTCCCTTTTATAGAAAAAAGGAGAATTTCCCCTTTGACAATATATTTACGCAAAAGTTAAACTGCGGTAAAGATTAAGAATTTAAAAATTAATAATACCACTACAAATTAGGAAACTTAATTTCTTTTTGTTATTTAAGATCGCATCCACTTCTAGGTCATTAGCGACCACTATTGCTTGTAACGGTATGGTAACTGTGAGGATGACATGATACGATGATGATAGAGGGGATGAAAGGACGAATACGATACAACCATGCCCGAGAGGGGGCTCCAACCCGCGACCCTTCGGTCCGAGATCGCTACAGCCGTGCCGTAGGCCACCGGATCGGCGAACTCAAATTTGTGATCAAATATTTATTCAAAAACGACCACGTGGGGTAGCATTCAGATTACTTATCTTCTACAGTTGAGGACGGGAGTCTTAGTCGATCCAAGTGAATATTGTGATGGGTACTCAGATCGTTACCATCACAATTGTCCATTTTCATTTACTATTTCTCAATACAGGGACCTTTTACAGGGGAAATCCAACGATGTTAATGTTGGGATTTCAGGCTACTCTGATTTCGCCATCACGAGATAATTAATAGGTGAGATAAATAAAAAGAAATAAACTGAGTGATAGGAACAAAAAATAGTAAAATATTAACAAAAACTCGTACAGATTTTGAATGTTACTCGTGATAAAAATCAATCTAAGTGCTTACCCTTAGTCATAGGAGACAGCATATGGAAGTGCACAGAAGCCCCGCCCGCGCTCATGCCGAACAGCGTTACGTTGCCAGGGTCGCCCCCGAACGCCGCGATGTTCTTCTTCACCCAGCGCAGGGCTGCCACCTGATCTTTGAGGCCAACGTTGCCAGGGGACGCCTCCTCCATGAACAGGAAACCTGTGTCATATTTGCAATTACGATTCTGTTATTCATTTTCGTGTACACTGTGAAGATGTGAATCGGCGTTGAAATTTGCGAAGTTGAATGTTTAGTAGCTATTGTACCAATGGCAATGACAAGTCACATCAGTTCAAAGTAGACGGAAAAGAGACAAATCTTTTACTTAAACTGAGGTCAGATTTAAAATCAGACTTGAAAACTCATAGTATTATAAAACTCAATGTAGTAGAAAGGGAATATAGAGGGAGTTCTACCTATTTTAATGAAAATATTATATAAATTTGTTTCATCTAAAAATTTGTATAGCATTTCAAATTTGTATTCTTGTATTTTTGGGGATGTTTATTTCCAGAAGTAGAATTAGCAAGGTATACTTATAAATACAAGCATGTCATATGTCGTAAATATATTAGAGGATTTTTTTTAAAACAAAGAGTGAAAATTTCATAGATTTTTTAACTATTTTATAATCGAAAATATCTTGAAACCATCCTAGATGAGTTTGAAACTGGTATAAAGGGTCTTTAGGAACACTTATTTGTTTCATTTTGTGAGAATTAAGTTTTATATTTCCAAACAGGATGTCACTTATCTCTGCAAATTTTCGTTGTGTATTGCCAGAGCAGAATGTTTTTGAGAGTGTATTATTATGTGACCAATTATATTGTGTTTGTGAATATTCAAATCGGGTCAGGGAACAATTTTTTCTCACCTCCCTCCGTTGTTATTAACGATTCCTGGAGATTACATTCTTTCTTGAATCAATTATCCAATAATATTGTGATCTAATTACTAAATTGGTCCGTAAGCCATTTAGGGCAGGCATGACTAGGACACGGGCTAGTTTGCGAGCTTCCTCGAGCTACCGAGCTCTGCATCCAGAACAACTCGAGAATTTTATAAGTTAAGGTTGTATAATGGTCTGGGGAGGGGAATCTATTTCGATATCATTCCTATGACGGTCGTTTGGAGAAGTCTGTTTCAGTTGTTACTTCAAAGTTAGTGATTAGAATTCCCATTTCCTGTAATATAAAAAATCAATTTATACTTGATCTTTTAAATTGAGATTAAAATTAAAATTTGCAATCTAAAAGATTTTGCGTTTACTCAAAGAGTGCTTTAACAATAGATCCTACGTTCAGTTTAAGAACAATGATTATTGTCCATCTGCAAGGGTGATATGGTAAATCTAAGAAGTTTTATTATAGAAGAGAAACTACAGTGTTGTTTCAATAATTTACTTCACATTGTTGGCATATACTTCAAACAACACAGTTAATAAAACATAACACAAATAAAAATAAATGAGTAACAAGAATTTGTCATTGAAACATAGTCTTCCCAAAAATAATTATATTATTCTGCGATATTGGCATAATTTGGCAATTGGCAATTCATAAAAAATGTATATGCAAGGTATTAAATAATGAAAATAAACATACAATAAGATACAAAATATTTCACCTCTCAGTCGTTTAATAGAAACCAGGGTCAGGGTCGAAAGGGCAAGAAATAAATTATTTAAAAAAATATTTTAGTGTCTGATTTGATAAGATCAGAACACCATTCCTATCATCTAGCATATCATTCAAAATCTGGTCATATTTATCCGCATCAACATCAGAATCAAGAGATCTTAAATTTGGAAAATGGTAGGAAATCGTGGTTTACAATCTTATTTTTCACAAGATTAACTTCACTTCTAACCCCTACATAATTTCTTTTACATCAGACACTAAGTGATCATTTTCTTCTCATTACATATTTAATATAAAATTAATTAATTAGATATTATTCATTAATATTAATATATTATATTCTTATTATGTCATGTTATTAATAATATATTTCATTATAATTATGTTATATCATTAATATTAATCATAATTATTTGCATATTTAATATATGTAGGCAAACCACAAAATCTAACAAAAAGTGTAGGTCAAAAATGCACTTGTCTGTGATCTGAGACAAAAGTTTACCCTTGCCATCGCGTCGCCGTCAATACTAAAAAAGCACTGGCAGCGATTGTATATTCCTTTCTTGATTTGGAGGGGAAAGGAGAGGGCAGTCAATGGAAGTTGCATGTTCCCGCAACAATTTCGAGGTTCCCAGGCAGGAAAGTAGCTCGTGCGTGGTCGCAGTAAATCTTGTGTGTCGCCCACCGCCCACCATTAAATATTTACTTTTCAAATGTTACGTTATGGAACAATAGTAGTTTACGCAATTAGTTTATAATGTTAAGCTTTATTGCTTGAGTACATGTTTTGAAAACGAGCGACTTTAGGAGCGAGGTTTGAAATTTGCACGAATGTAAAACAGCAACTTAATAAACGAGTTTCATACTATATTTTTTGGTATAACAGCATTATACTTTAATAGATAATCAAACTTAATTTTGTGAAACAAACTTCCCTGTGACGACTGGCACTTGACATCGTGCGAGTAAACGGTCGTCGGCTGTTCCGATTAGCTCCCCCCCCCCCGATTCTCTGGCTACGATTGGTTGAATGTGTGATGACGCAATCATTCGAGACATAAAATACAATACGTCATCATTTGTGCCGTAAAATGCCCGATTATGAACGATGTTTTGCAACAGAAAAGGTTATTTTATAATGTTGGATTACAAAAAAAACTTTTATAACATTCTCGAAATGTAAATAACTGTTGTTCCGCTCATACATTATACCACGTGATTGCAGTATCCGACGTCTGCTGTTGTTAAAATTTATTACGAAGTTATACGAACGTATTTTATTTATTGGTCTTGAGAAGCGTGTGAAGGACATGCAGGTTGCACCACTTGCATTTGGCACCAAACGTGTTTAAAACGCTTGTAATGATTTTATGTAGTGTTAGCGCAGACTATAAGTATGCAAATGGCATTGCTTTGTGAATGTATAAAGGGCAATGTTTGGAAAAATATTAAAAAAACAAACTATATTTGAGGGTCCATAGCGAGAGCGTACCTAGCACCCCCAGGCGGTAGTTGAGGGTGACGAGGACGACCCCGTCCGCCACGAGGTAGTCGGGGCCGTACTGCAGTGCGTTGCCCGAGCCGAACTCGAAGCCCCCGCCGTGCACGAAGACCATCACGGGCAGCGGGGCCCCTCCGGCCGCGGGACTCCGCGGCGCGAACACGTTCAGGTAGAGGCAGTCCTCGCTGCCCACGTAGTCCTGCGTCACATCGCCGTCGAACTGCCTGCACACGTCCCCTTCCTGGAAGGCGTCCCGCACGCCTTCCCACGGCTCCGCCGGCTGCGCGTCCTACACACAGCCAAAAATACTCCGTTACCTTAATGAAATTGATAGGAAAACACCTGTCATGAACGCACGTTCAATTTAATGAACACACGGACATGGATGCAAGAGTCAAATCTTTATGGTCATATTTGGTATGACTGAATGATCTTGAGGCACTGGATATTATGAATAAATGATATGAATGGTAAGAGACACGTAAAACGGAAAACTCTGCACATTAATTCCACACTGATTTTAACTTATGTATTAAATTTAATGTAGAAATATTTCAAGCTCTTTTAATGTTTGATTACGTTTCAAGTACAATTTATTAATCTACATCAAATTTAATGACCTTTCTGACAAAATACTCTTTTGAATACTATTGGATAAGATAATTTCAGCATTTGACTAGACAGGATGCGAAACCAGTTTGGGTGTTGTTATCTGTTCTATCCGGGACGAGCCGCGTCACTGACATGGTGGTTAACGTTTCGGCCGGCCTATTGCGTTAGCACTACGCTCTCCGGAAGGCCACAATACGCTGGCCGAAACGTTAGCCACCATGTCAGTGACGCGGCTCGACCCAGATAGCCCAGATAACACACACTTCGGCCGCGGAAGCCTACTACGCTACCAGTTAACCTGTGTGCTGCTAGTAGAATGTGTTGCTAACCTGATTCTTTCGAAGTTTCACAATGGTTACATTTTTTTAGAGGGAAATACAGAAATGTTAAATTTTCGTTCCATATCCGTTCGTCCTTCTGAGATCAACGCTAGCGCCTAAATTTTTCAGACGACTTTCTCCAAAATTGACATTGCCTTATATATCTGAAACAACTCGAGGTCCCTCAAGTTTGCAATTAGTTTTTTTGGAGCGTATTTGATATAAACAGGATTTTAATTTGTTTTCAAAAATGGCTATACTTTTTTATTACACTTTGTCATCGGATAGCGTGAAACTCTTAAAGAAACGTTGCGATTCTCCTTTCCGTAAACCTTTTCTGTCTCATTAGGAAAACGTACATATGATCTATTTTCTTTGTATTGACATTGCTATAAGACAATCGCGAATGAAAGTGAATTCCTATAATAAATAAATCGATATCCAAACTAATATACTGCACAAAAATCCTACAGAAATACTTTCTTAGAGGCCCTTAATAATCGCCGTACCTTGAAACGCAGCGGCCCTATAGGCGGGCGCGCGTAAGGCACTCCCTGGAAGCTCCAGAAGGTTCCTCCACCGCGAGACTCCACGCGCCGCCCCCGCAGCAGCCCCTCCGCCACCCGCACCGTCGCGGTCGCTTCCTCCGCCATCTCGATCCTCTGAAAATCGAAAAAAATGATCGTAGGAACCAACTTTTTCTGGAAATATTAAGGGAATGTCATGAAAGATGAGTCGTTAATAATATGTAACGTTATTAATCCGTGATGTGAAAGTAACGCTCTACTTCCCAAATAGTATCATTATGCCGATTGTAAATTCACAACTATTACCAAGAGTAAAGGATCAACAATGCCGTTGAGAATAATGTTGCAACTGATATTTTTTAACAATGGCATTTGAATAGGGGTGTCCAGAGAAAACAAGAGGTCGCGCTCAATAATTCAGTGAAGGTCCCTTATTTCAAACAAAAGTCTCACTCCCATACATATATATAATTCATTTCTTCATGCAACGGAGATGAATTATAGAGCTTAATTTGTATTATAAGTAATTACATTTTTGTTTGTTTTAAATTAAAACAAAAAACTTTCGGTACTTCAGATGACGTGGGGCAAGTTTTAAGGTGCCCGAGATTGCCCTCCCCGTTCTGAACTCTTCTGCATATGAATTAACATTCCTAACAATAATGAATTGTAACAATGGAAGTTCTATAAATGAGAATTCGCACTTTTGTTCAGAAAGTCTGAATAAGAAAAAACTGACATCATGATAAAATGCAAATTACAGAACACATTTTCTTCAAGAAAGAATTATTAGATTCAATCATATCAGGAGCGAGAGAATTAGATTATAATGAAGAAAATATGTGTATATGCATATAAGAATAATAATGACTTATTGAATTCCATAAACGACTCATTCAAATTACAAGACAATGTTCACATACATCAGAATAATATCCATGAATACTACACAGTGTGTAGTACATGAGGTATGATACATGTAGTGTAAGTCGTGTTCAGATTGTAAACGACATTGATGTTGTACAACCGAAGTGCGCAAGACCTTTTGGAAAGTCACGAACAACTTCAAGGATGTAGTCAGCAATTCAATGCCGAGTTAAGAGAGGTGCGTGACGAGAGAACAAAAAAAATATGACGGGTTGTTTTGTCGTGCGAGGTAGCGACAATAATCAAAATCAGATACCGGTATTGGGAGCAGTTGGGCTAAACATTAAAATCCAGGGAATTGAGTCTACGTCAGGAGAGGACCAAAACAGTTTTCAGAGCATAAGACAATAACAACGTCCATTTTTGAATTACATAATACATTGTTCATTGTTTTTTAAAAGACGTATTTAAGTAAAAATACGCAAATCTGATGGTAATTGCAATAAACTAGTGTTGTTCTCCGCTCTTGCATTTGCCATTTAGTGGTATTCTAGGTATTTTCTTTAAATGTACGAGTGGAAAGTCACTTCGGTGGGTATATTGCTGACCAAAACGTGCAACGCGAACAGAGTTACCACCGACAGCGAACGAGACGCAGGAGGTTTCAGTGAACTGTATTGTCAACGGACACCTCTGTTGTTGTTTCCCCCCCCAAGCAAGTTTTCCTAGAACGCTGAGCAGTGCGCCAGGCCACAGTGGCTGTACCTACGGTTGTCAAGCGTTCGGAGGAAAGCAAGGCCGGTCCACCGGACTTTCTATATTTGTCATCACCGTTCTTCCACAAAAAACAATAGCATGATATTCGGAGCGCTGTAACATGTTCATTTCATGGAAATAAACTCAATATTTTTGTTAAAAGTTTCTGAGAATTGCAAAAGTATAGTCCAGACATACAGTGAATTTCATTGAGAGAATGTATGAACTGTCGGGAGATGCATATTCATATATAAAACATCTGAGTGAGTCCTTCACGGGTTAATAAAAAATTAATGATTCCAGGCCAAATTTTCGTTTCAAAAGCAACATATACGAGGATCATCTAATCCCAAAACCCGTACACTGGCGGTACATTGCGTAAAAATGAGTTGATATGAAATTGCTGTCAGTTTTGGATACGTTCAATCTCGTCCCTGATTTCAGATTTCTTTCAAAACGATTGCCAGGACCTACGACTACAGACGTAACAGTAACACCTAAAAGAAACGGAGGAATTATTTTTTATTATATTATTATACATCATTGACTATATTATCCGCTATTTATTATTATTGATAATAATAATAATAATCGCTCAATGTCCAATGTAGGTTTTGAGGCACATTGCGTCATTTCGAAGACGTTTTTAACAGAGAAATTAAATCTCAAAGCAGGAAAATGTAGAACTTATTAAAAACTACACGCTTTTATATCAAACTCAATTTTTCCGCTAGTGGGCAATATATGCGTTTTGATTAGTCGCTCTTCATATAGTATTACATCAATACAAATTATGTTTTATTGATTTATGATTGATTTGTTTTTCTTTTTGATACAAATTCGATTTTTTCACATCATAAAGCAATGTTTTCGGGTACTGATGGTGTTCAGGTCATGCTTCTAAGTAGAAAGTATTATTGTCCCGATTTGTTTTGGTTTTGTAACCATAAATTAAAGGCATTATATTTAAAACAAATTGTTTAAGTGAATCGTATGCTGTTGCATTAAATTAAAAAAAGTGAAAATGCACAATCGAAGTATTTTACTCACATATAAATAACCCATTACAGAAAGTTCCAGTTAGACCCACAGACCAACCCTTCATTTTGTAAATCATTGTCTGAAAAGTAAAAATATGACATACTCCTTATAACTCACGTAGTATTTTTTATCATAATCTACGACGATCTACATTTTCCATCAATACAGTTTGATGCTTGCCATTGACCAGTAGAACACGTGTGTTTACAATGATTCATAACACAAAACTGACATAGTTCATTAGTGTACTAAATGTTGAGAGGGATAACTTTGCCGTTAATTTCCGCATTACATGGAACTTCAAAAAACATTTTTTAAATACCTTTCGTTTTGAAATAAGGTCTGCCGTAAGATTTTTAATTACAACATTATACTGCCGTGTGTATTGACTGCTGAAAAATTAAAGTTAATGAACACACTATTGAAAATTATTAATTTGATTTGATTGCATTTGATTTATTTTGTCAAAGAACAGAAAAAACTATGTGACATATCGAGGAGAAATACCTTCAACACACGGTTTCTTTATCACCAGAATATCTTTCCTACCTTTAAACGATAAAGAGTTGAAATGATAAAAGTCTCAATAATGCGAGGTTAGAGACATTTGAAATCTACATATTTTTGCTCCTAAATTGTAGAAAACGTATTTTTATCAATAAACAATCTACAGATTCAATTTTTATAGTGTTGCTAACAAAATCACTTCTTTGAATCCTTGAAAATCGGACATATGCCACCTTTATTACTGTATTTTACTCTTTTCTTACAATAATTTTTAAGAAAATATTTGAAGCCATTTTTTAGAACAGTTTGGAAATGCCCATGGTGCTTCATGTAATGTACCTCCAAAAATTAATGAATGTTTGTCAAAATTTCAGAGCTTTGACTGAGGCCACATCGACAGAAGTCCATTCAGTTATATTACTCCGTATATACGTATGTATACGAAAAAGTAAAAATTAATAGAATATTTTAATAAAATTGTTTGATCTAATTTGTGTTATCTGGTTAATGAGTTTCTGTTTACAATGCTTAAAAATGACTGTGTAAAAAATTCTGAACAAAAACCCTATAAACAAAGCAAAGACAAATGAATCCCGTTAAGCGAATGCCTCGTTGCAAGAGTTCGCAGGCCGTACCTTAGAGCCGGTGAAAGGCGTCCTTCGCTGCTCTCGCCGTCGCGTGGCGTCGTGCACTGCTCCCGAGACGCCGCGCCGCGCCGCGCCGCGAACGGAGCTCGCGCCAGATGTTGCATAAGTGAGGTCACGTGACGGCGAGCCGCGGCGGGCGGCGTGAGGTTGCGCGCACGCAGTGGGTGGCATACGGCTGCACTCTCACTCACGCTACGGTTCCTATACGTAGGCCAGCGTACAGGGGGGGCGAGCAATTACCTTATTTAATATAACAATAGTTTTATTGTTTTTGAAGAATAGGTTCTCCAAGCTACCTGGCAACCATATAAAGTTTTCGTCATATTCATTTTTTTAAAATATTTATTTTCAATAAGATCAGCAGCTGGTTGCTGCTTTACATTACTTTGTACACTTGTTTACCTTATTACAACACTCTTTTCTGATGTACATAACAATTAAATGACAAGGCAAAAATATATTATAAAATATTGTAAAATCAATTGTGCAATATTTATTGATTGTTTCGTTGAAGTTGCGATTTCATTTTCCTTGTTGTAGTCTATGTTTTATTAAACTAGTAAAATATGGCCCCTCCTATTTTGTTCGTAGGCTGCGCATTCTTGTGGTGGTTTGAGTCCCGTAAAATACAGAATTGTTACCTTTTTCTCGTTGCATCCCATGCTGCAGAGTAACTCGGATAGTCCTCGAAAATGTGATTCTATTTTGCTCCACGTTTTTGAGCCATTGGATGCCCAAAGTTAAAAAGTACTAACTGTAGTTTTCCACTTAAAATCACGCGAAAACCGAAGAATTATGTGACTTCCCTTACTCTGCAAAATCAAATAGGTCCGAGGTTTTTAAAAATGTTTACACACTAACTGCTACCAACAAAACTCTAAAGTTAATTGTTTTTGCTTTTTATCAAGAACAGTATTGTAACTAAAAATGTTCCTAATTCAAAATCAAAGTTAGCAAATTTGTCTATTGCGAAAATGAAAAAAATTCAAACAAATGCTTTCTTTCATCACTGATTTCGGCAAACTTTGAGTTTTATCACTTTAGAAATTAGATTTCAAGAAGCAGTGGGCTTGTTGGGATCCTGAAAAAACTCACAGTGAAAACATACGATATCCTTGGTTTTAAACAATTCAGTATATAAAGCTGTTGCACAAAAGTAATTTATAAATAAATGTGGATCACAAAATGTTATCAACGGCAATGAACTAACAGAAAAAGAGACAGAATTTTATTAAAGGAAAGAAAAAATGAAACACTGAGAGAATAAAATAAGTGAAATAAGAATCTAGGCTAAAGTACAGAAAGAATAGTTAATGCATTTATAATTATTAAACGTAATAAACTCATGATTCAGAGAATAGAGAAACTGTTTTTGACAAATTTAAAAAATACCAAGTTGATGAAAAAACTATAAATTCATTAAAACTTACATTAATTAATACTATTTGCAAAGTTAAATTTCTAGGTGAAGTCAGTAAGCCCTTCCACGTAAACACAGTGCAAAGACAAGGGGAAAGGGGACAAGGGGACAAGGGTCTATCACCATATACTTTTTAATGTGCTCTTGAATAAAGTCATGGTAAAGTCACATTTTGGGTGCAGAATAATTCAGGGTCAAACATTGGTACAAAGAACAAGAACCTCGAAATAAACTGTTTAGCATTTGCTGATGATTTAGTACCGTTAGCAGACTCAGAACAAGAAATTATTAATCAAATTAATCAATTAAAAGAAATAGCAGAAATCGTGCTTACCAGAATCGTTAAATAAACCTGAAATTATGACAGTTGATCGTAAACACACCCAGAATGCAGTAAAAAGAAATTATGTTATTTTGTTTGCGCGCTTGCCCTGATTTCCCAAGTGTGCGCCTGCTGGTCGAGTGGCGATTTGTCCGCGGAGAGCGCGGATGTGGTCCACTGCGCGCCGCCGGGAAGTGCCTCTTGGGGGCGGCGTCGTTCCGCGCGACTAGGAGTATCCTGCGACAAGTGGCTCAGAAGTGAGGGCGAAGGTCACTTGTCACTTGCCGGAGTGGCAGCAGGACACGCTCACCGGATGAGGTGGCTCAGGGTTGCGACTGGTGTCTCTGCGGGGCCTCTGACCCGGAGGTCCCGTTCTTCTGACCGGAGGGGCCAGGCCCGGCGACTTTATAAGGGCTTGTACTGGCTAGGTGGTACTCCGTTGGTGGAAGATACCTGGTCGGGAAAATTCCACCGGCCTACGTGTAGGTCGGTGCCGTGCCTCACCAATCAGCGGGGGAAAATCACCTCCACCTTACGTGATAAAATGTACTACAATTACGGAACTAGTTACTATTTGACGTGCCTGGAAACACGAAACAGTCAGGAAACGCTTCCTACACGATAACGGTATACTTTAAAGTCATCTATATTTGTTTCGAATTACAGAAATGTTGTGCCTTAAACTTACCGTATTAAAGAGTCAAAACTCTGGACCGTTAATTATTTGATTTCAATTCGGCCGTAAATATAAACTGTAAAACGCTGCTTGATATACTGTGGTTACTTTTATTTATTTATTTACGTCAAAAACAGTTAAAAACAGTGTGACGTGTTATGGGGAGAAGTTAATTTGAAGTTAAACTTACATTAATCGAACAGTATTTGTATCACTGCATTTTACTGGAGATAGTGTATTTTGTTGGAGCCGAAATATAATACACATAAAACAAGAGTCTGTAGACTCAATTCTTTGCATTCAGTACCGTGTTTTGTCTAGTACCAAAAGCACATTGTTTACATTACAAAACATTATTGGTTTTATTTATCCACTTCACTTCTGTAATGTCAGAGTTAATTATGATCGAATTTAGAAAGATATTTTTATCTAGAAGACGTCTCGCGAACCTTATGTTCTTTCATTTCGAAAAAATGCGAAATTTGATAATATGGAAGTGGCCATTAATCTAGGCTGCCCACGATCTTCTGTATGTCTTTGATAACTTCTTTGCATGTGGGAGGACTGGTTCACAGAGTGAAAATATCTTATTATAATTTTAATATCTTATAAAAATCAAACCAGTCATCTTCATATACCCTGGAACAAAATTGCTTTTTTAGTCGCATTTTGAATTTGCAACTGTTTCATAATATAGAGTTCGGAATTATTTCTAAAACAGTATGTGCTATATTACCTGATATGTCACCAGCAGTAGATTTTGAACATTTTCGAGTTCGATTAGCAGTCGCAGTCATTATGGCACCTGTCCTTTCCATGGGGCACAGTTGGCATGTTCTTCTTTGTGAATAACTTTTTTGACATTCAATTTTTTGTCTAATTGCACAACATCGACAGGAAATGAAATAAAATGCACAGTGTTTATGGGTGAATCTGGCTGTAAGCGAACGCCGGAGTTTCCACCAATTGATTACGCATAATGACGATCTCGGAGTGTTTTACGTGACTCGATAAGCGTTGAAAGACAAAACTTCTCTCTAATGATTAAACGATCTGAAAATGAAACTTCTAACCAATGAAACTGTAACATTTTTTTAAACAAAGGGGAAAGAAGCAACCCCGGGGTATGTCGTTAGAAGAAGGTTATTGAAAGGTTAGAGGAGGGCAATAACCTTCAGTTACTTACTAGCTACTACGGCAACCTCTTCCATTTGTAATATAATTTTTTTTAAGTAAACCGATAGAGATAACCTGCTTCCTCAATACATTTTTATTGAAATAACTGGTGGGTTCCTTATTTCTTGTTAAGCTTACTTGACCAATAACCTTTTTGTTAATGCAAGTTTTAATGTAAAATATTTTAATAAGTGGATTTCAATTTATATGTACATCACCTTGTAATATGACGATGACCTTTATATTTATATGATTAAAATTTATAACAATGGCTCTAGGTATCTTGAAACCTTTAAACAAATAAGTAATATATTTGAAACCTGTTAAATGTAACATATTATGTGCAACAGCATTTATTTTATTTAAATATTTTTCAAATAAATAAATAATAAATGTTTTATTAAATAATTGTTCACTGCTTGAAAAAGACGAAAATTATCATCGCCGAAACGTTGTACGTATTAGGGCAAGAGAAAATAAAATGAAATTTGAGGCATAGCTGCCTTTAATGTAATGGGATCATATAATTAAAGATGTTGTCATTGCCAACAATGTTTTTTAATTCAAAAGCAGCTTTCGATGGCTTAG